GGGGGGGAGGGGGGGGGGGGGGGCTACAGCAAATTTTGGCGGTGGCTGCAACCCACCTATAGCCCCCTCCCAGTGCTGCCACTTCCCTCCCCGAGTGCAGCCCTGGCTCCCAACCAGGAAGAGCCTGGCGTCACCCTGACCCCAGCCCATAGTGGCAGCCCACCCTGCCCCATGCGCAGATCCAGCAGCAAATGTCCCCCATACTCTCCCGGGGTGCGCACAGTGGTGGGAGTTGTCCCTTCCCCCAAACCAGTCACTCATGGTTCTGTCCCCTGCTCTGTTCCAGTTGTGCAGCGCCTGCCCCAGCCCCACTTTTTCCCTCACTGCTGGTGCCTCGATCTCTCTCCCCACGCCTTACAACAGACTTACCAGCTAGATGCTGCTCTCCAAGCTGCCCAGCTGCGTATCGGAATCAGATCAGTATCGGACGATATGGCTCATTAAAAATTGACCATCAGTATTGGCCCCAAAATACTCTATTGGTACGCCCCTACTATCTAGTGTTGGCATCTCTGACTACTGCTGTAGTTCTAGTGTTCAGTATTGCATTCAGGTACACAAGGATTAGTTGCATGCTGCTTTCATGAACCATGAGAAATCAAATGGGGATACTTAGAACAGAAGTAATGAATGTGTCAAATATAGCATTGATTTCTTTCTACATTTCATCACGGTAGAGAAGGGCTGCTCAGGTTATGGTAAAATCAGACAAATACGGACAGTGGATGCTCCTAGCTGCATCAGAAGGGGAGTTGTTGTTCAGCTGTTACACTATAACTGTTATGTGAGCATGAGTCTCCTTTACAAATGTAGCGTAAACACTCCAGGTGTAACCCTGCTTCATCCAGGGTCAGTGTGAAGCAAGTTAGCTTGCATGTATCACTGCAGGCTCCTGTACACACAACAGTTGCAGCGTAACAGCTGCTGCATGGTCCCAGTCAGTAGCTCCTCCCCTTTTTGAAGCCATTACACATGTGGTTTGTGTATAGGGTGGAAACAGGCATTGCCTTTGTGCTGTGGTAAAAATGTTGTGGATGTGGCAGTAGGTAGTAATAATTTGTATTACTTCATTGTGGCAGACATCTATTTGCTTTTTGGCAGGAGAGCACAGGCAGCCCAGAGTTGCCCACACTCTCCAGCCACATCAGACCCACATCAGGGGCCTGGGAACTTGAGGGGCCTGACCCTTCACACCCTAGCAGAAGATTCCCACAAGCCCTGGAAACACCTGTCTAGCTTTCTCCACTTACACTCTGGAGATCACAGGGATGCGTTTCAGTATCTAGGTAAGCAAGGAACGCTGCCGTTTCCCATACTTGCCTAGATATGACCCAGAGATCTTGAGAGCACATCTTGGTAAGTGGGGAAAACCAGGCAGGCACTCCCAGAATGTGAGGGACCCAATCCTATACAGCAATTCCCAAGCTACATGGGACTGGGCCCCTAAAGCCCCAGGGGAACACATTGCCTGTTGTCCCACAGCATCAACAGGTGGAACAGCAGGCAGCATGTTTCACCCAATGAAGCAGATCAGTTATATGCACAGGTTGCCAGATATGCATACTGGCTACATTATGTATATAGCGCTACCAAGGTGACAATGCTGAAGAGAATGGAACTGACACTCTCAGATGTGCATGTCTGCATGCTGGGGCCACGTGAATACTGCTGCCAATTAAGTGAACATAATATAAAGGGCCCTACTGGGCTTTAATCTTAATCTTTCAAGTTCCCCTGCACACTGCACTCCCCCATCCACCCACTGCTGGTTGGTGGGGGGACCCTGCTTGCTCCTGATCAGCAGGGAAGCGAACAGCTTGGCACTGTTTTTGTATCCCCTGTGACCAATTCTTGGCTGTACTTGGCTCTCATTTTGTTTCTGTTTGCCTAGTAAGCCTTCCAGACTTACTTTTCTGATCTTTTCTTGGGTTATAAAGTATTGAGAGAAAGATATTACTTTCTAGGTGCTGCAACCCCAGTAGGGGACCTAATGTCAGCTGCAGCCTGTAGGCTTCTTTGTTCAGACAAATAATAATAATGGTGATGATAGACTTTGGGGAAAAGATCTGCCTAAACAAATAAGAGTTATTCTTTAACCTTAAATTTCAGTTAAGTAGCTAAAGAATATTTTACAATCTCAGATTATAAAATGCTTCTAAAAATTTGTGGAAGTGGGCCTCAGTACAATGAAATAATAGTTTCTGGGGTGATAAGTGGTAAAAGTTTTGTGTGACTTTTTTGTAAGTAAAAATTAAGGGGAAAAAAACCTTTTTATATCAAGCCCTCTCCCTCTCATTTCCTGCTACATTTTGAAGTCAAGGCTGTTGCATCAGTTTGCAGTATCCTGAAGCTATTCACTTCAGTTGGGATTCTTCCATTGCACAAGAACAGTATAAATGAGAAGCCATTTAGACCTGATATGTTAAGTAATCCAGACAAAGGATAACACCAATATATGGCACATGAGTGAAATGATCTTTCTCTCTTCACTTCCCTTGTCTCTTTTTTTCTGAAAAGGTGTCTGTTACTCCTATGATTTTTTGTCAGATGTGACACCTCTGTAACCTAAAGTTTAACCACAAGCCTCCCTTAGGCATGTAGGAGCATGTAAATTGGGTTTATGAATAAGGTTGTGCTGACCTTTGTCATAGTGAACTGTCTCCTTATACATACTTAGGAATAGAATTTTAGAAATGATTCACTTTGGCTTAGTTTTGCTGATTTTGGCTTAGATATATAGGCACACCTATATCCCCCCCCCATTTTACCAGCTGTATAAGGGGGGTGGAATATATATATTCCCTTTATAAAGCTGCTAAAATGGAGGTGGGGAGATACAGGTGTGCCTAACCTGCACATACAGCCATCTCCAGGGGACATGAGAGGTGGTAATTGCCATTTTCAATAGGAATTTTTGGGACATCATGTCAGGCCATTATTCTGTGCTGAGTTACTGTGTGTGCATGTGCAGAAATGAGCAAAAACTGAAATAACTATTTCTCTGTTGCTCTATGGAGGGGGAAATAAATCCTTTATTCCAAGGGCCCCATTTACCCTTTTCCTGTAGGAGGCAGTGTTAGTGTGTGTTTGGTACTGTGTTCGTCCAGCAGCAAAAGAAAATATATTCTAAGGGGATGGACACGTGGAGTTATATCAGTATCAAAGGACCTGGTACAAGCCATTACCATGCAACTGATGCATCTGCATGATTCCTTAGCAATACAAGTGCAAAAAAACTGCTACAATTTTAACCTTGCTTCCTTCAGGGTCAAAATGGGGTGCAATTTAACTAACATGTACTGCTGCAAGATAGAGCTCAACAGCTGCTAAGCGCTCCCAAGCAGCAACTCTGCCTCCCCTTTTAAAGCAGCTAAAATGTGCATTTGTCTATGTGCTTATACTGTGATCCAGCAATAGGGCCAGTGAGTCCTCTGTGGTACTACGGTAATACAGATAAGAAAAAATGGAATTGTAGAAAAATAGAGCTGGAAGGAACCTTAGGAGGTCATC